CCATGAACAAATCCACTTTCGTCTGGCGCACTGTGTCAATATTCAGCAACAGTCGCTGAATGAGCTGCTGCCGATAAGCACTTATAGTGCTGCGAATTATGCCCTGAGCTAACGACTGAATCAAAGCCGTGCGGTTATGTGGGAAGAATCACACGTACACATTGCCCAGCTAAACGTTAACGTTACGAGCTGAGCAGTTATCAATTAGCACGCACGCCTTGCGGTTTTGGCCCTTCATTTCACAGTTACACGGCTTTATCCAATCACAGAAGATGGCCCGTGTCATCCACGATTGTCTGTTCGCCACATACTTTACTGGCAAGATTCTGCAGCCTTTGAGGCATCGAGGCCTCCAGCTCTTGCGGATGACAAGTGGGCAGTGTATATCAGAACCATCTATGTTAGTGCAGAGAAGCAGCCACACGTTTCTTGCTGTGTTTCCCTCCACTGGATGCATGGCCCTTTAGCCCTTTATATGCAGTCTTTTTCGGAAGCAGTTCATAAAAATGTCTTGTCTCGTCCGCATTATAAATGTCGGACGAGACAGTAGTCTTTCAGTATGTCCAGAAAAGCAGACGATGCCCAAGTCACTGCACCATTGGCGTCTGATACCGCAGACTCGCCGCACAACACTTTTCCTACCATGTCATGCTGGGCCTTGAAACATGTCAGCCAACCTGTGCTCAATGTCCTCAATGCCTAGAATACAAACAAAAATTCAGTGCTTTTTGCTGTAATACACATCCGCTGATAGGCGCATCTTCTTGGCACGCATGTCAAGAAACCAAGTGTACAGTGCCTTTTGGAGATCCCCGTGTGCCGAAGATGTCTACTTCTTGCGCTTTGTAAACGTCCCTGCCGAAATAGCACTAGTGATCACGTCCTTCGCCTTCAAAATTGTGGATGTGGACAGCAGGCTGTTGGAGATGCCGAATTCCGCAGCAATGTCTCCTTTTTTTCTGCCGTTTGAAGCTTCGCTGATGATTCGCGCCTTTACCTCGAGAGTAAGAAACTTGCGCTTTGCTGCCATGATGGCGCAGAGATCTACATACGTGAGTACACAAGCATGAATTAAGCGCAATGATCGGCTTGGCAGCTTAAGTAACAGATGATCACATGACCTGGCATGGATACGTGTTGGCTGTGGCTCTGCCTCGGCAAAGCAGGACAGCGCCGCGTCGCAAGGCAACCAGCCGCATCGTCATCACCACCAATCAATGGCCCTCTCCATAACTTTGTTTACAGGCGGTGCAGCGTGGAATGGCCGCACATTTTCGGTGAAACAAAGTGTTGTCAATGTTTGAAAAGTTGCACCGTTGGCGATGCGCTGATTTAACCATCGAACTAATTTTCAATCCAAGCGCCGCTGAGCGAAAGTTTTGTTGAAGCGAACACAAGCCCGAAAAATCTTTCGTTGTAGCAAGAGCTCTGATGCACTGACTTCTATGGCAAGCCGACGGGGAATAAGAAATACTTCGTTCAGGCGGAAACGTTGTTAAAGCGGCGTTCGTTGCAGCGCGGTTCGACTGCACCACTAATAGTCAAAATTTTATTGTGAATCGAATACCAAACACTATTTGAAAAAACATTCGCAAGTTCGAATATTCACGTCCCCCTAAAAAATTGCCCTTGAATGTGCTCCTAAGAAATGTGAAAAAATATACGATGAACTGTTTTCAGGAGACACACTTCAACCTTTGGTTTGTTTGATTTGCTGGCACCGATCTGAACTGGTTCATACTGGTGCATGGCAGACTAAACTAATAGTGAAAATAGTAATTTAGTTGAATAATTTTGAACCGGATAGATAGAATAGCACATACCACATATTATAAAAAAAATAGGCTATCTTCTCAAGGCCAAGGTAACCTGCACAATACTTCAAGAATCGAAACAAGGTGTGTGCGAATGCCACCTTATTGGTTCGAAGCTGAGTGGAAGTAAGATTGAAAAGTGGGAAAACTTCAGCAGAAGTAAAATGAAAATTATAAAAGTCAAAATAAATTACTTTAATACTTGCTATGCTAATCACACATAAGTCTGCATAACAAGCTGTGTGAAATAATTGATCGAGGTGAAGGCAATTTGTACATTAAATGGGTACCGACACAAAATCTCATGGCAGAGATGGCCTACGAAATCTATATTCCCGTGAAAATGTGTATATCATCTGCAAAATATCAAGAGCAACTAGATCTTGAAGGGCATTTTAAATATAATTTTGAAATTCGCATAAGCGATCGATTCCCTCGTACAATTGACAACCTCGAAGGTGACACTTGGTGACCCCCCCACTTCCCTGACGCGACCACGCTTCAACAAGTTATGACAACATCATAGCTGCGATTTCTCTTTTATCACATTTGCACCAGCTGACCATTACTCGGCAGCTGCTCGTGAGTTCATGGCCACGGCGCACGCATTGACAGTTTTGCGTTTGGAGACACTGCTGTCTCGTTTACTCTTGGAGAGCACTTCTAGACGCGGACTGCGCGGAAATGCATCCCAGTTCTGTGTGCTGAAGCAGTTGAACGTTGCATACGCGAAGTGGTGACAGTTTCACTCGGCAGCTTGTTGTTTTGGAGCGCTCTCATGCCGAAACGAAGACTGGTAGATAACAGAGAGCCTGTAATTACCTGTTTTATGCTACAGCAAACGATGTACTGTGTTACGACTAGCAGGCCTCCGGCAACAGACTGCAGCACAAAAACACGAGGCCAAAATTTTTCTCTCGGTACCGCTTTAAACCAGCACGTGTGAGTACGCGGCCCGCGGATTTCCTCCGGATATGAGGGTTCAAGACATAGCAGTTCCATGAGGCAAGAAACGACCTTGACAAGGGTGCTATATGCACTCAAATAACAAGCATCTGTTCGTCCACTAAGAATAATTTAAAAAATTTCAAATTTAGGTTTATGTCTCAGTGAACTTGAATACACAATGATCGTTTGAATATTCAAAGCATTTATTTATTCGCCTATGCCTAAACGAATCTCCTCTGGAGCAGTTTGGCACATTAGGCGGAGGCCTCAGCTCAATGGCCACAGTAGTGCCATGGATCCTCATTGCACATACAGCGGCGTAAAGGAATACTCTGGTTCAGGGCCGCCACATTTCTTTCAATGAGGAAACGCCTCCTCTATTTTAGCAATGCCAGCCAGATGCGCCCGATCCAGCCATTTACCACCCCCTCCACTAGCCCTTTTCCGCTCTCGCCTATCACCTAGCCTTATCGTGTGCTTTGCGGTCATGTGGGAGAGAACCGCTCACAAACCTCACCACAGTAACCATACAAAGTCATTTTTGTTCAGTTGTTTACAGATCCGTGGGGCAGCGTCTTCCATTCCTAGTGCACGCAATACTGGCGGTCACACTGGCTCTGTAAAAGATATGGTGTTTTGAGATAGTGTGTTGCCTTTCGTAACGCTATGCGGGCTACCATTAAGGAAGCGCCACTGCAACGCTACTGCATGCGCTGCGCTGTGATGCGGAGGCGGCATTGCTTCGAGCCGCCACAAGGAGCCCGAAGGAACAAGTCTGACAAATGTACGATATTGGAGTGGGAAACACATCTATTGCATCTCCAGGGCAAAGCACTCAGAAGCACATGTGACGCAAACAGTGCTACCCATCATGTAGCGTTACATCATAACCACTGCTTCAGACAGCTCACGCTGAGAAGTGCCCATTCTCACCGGCACTGAAAGAAATAAAGGAGGCGTAGGTTGAGGCATGCCTTTGACTGGAGTTACCCCATTTGTGCCTATCATAGCTGATCTTGAGGTTCTTGCCCAGGGTGCTTCTGAGACTTGCGCTACAAGAAAGCCTGAACTTTAGAAAATGTGCATGGCAAGGAACCTCTTTGGTGGCACTAATCACCGACGACCTCTACTAGTGGACTCACTAGAGTGGAGGCATACTATCACAAGGTGACGCCAGTGAAGAAGGTCGCAATCTTGCTGGTGGAGATGAAGCTCTATAGCGGGCAAACATGTGCCCTGATAACCAAGTCTTGACTGACTTGTGGGATTTACCGTCCTAAACCCACCGTATGAATATAAGAGACGCCGTAGTGGAAGGCTACAGAAATTTCAACCACATAGGGCCCTTTAACGTGCACCCGAATCTGAGACCACAGGCCTACAGCATTTTAGCTTCCATCGAGAATGCAGCCGCCGCAGCTGGAATTTGATCCCGCGACCTGCGGGTCAGCAGCCGAGTACCTTTGCCACTAGACCACCTGCGGCAAAGTCGACTAACCCCTGTATTCAGAAACGCTGCTTGACTTGAACTTGACCACTGACTTCAATGCAGCACAAACGCGTTTCAATGCACTGTCTTTAGGCGGTGCCAAGGCAGCAAAACGCATAGACGCATTTCAGATGCGCAGCATTGAAGGCGGTTTCAAGTCAAGCTCAAGTCGAGAAGTGTTTTTGAATAGGGGGGTAAGTCTCCTTATGTACAAACTATTCCCTCCACACAGCGATTATAGTGGCGATCAAAGCCAACAACCGTTGACAATCTGATCACTGGCAGAACGCATCACCCATTATATATAAGTGGTCAAACCTTCCAGTGTTATCACTGATGCTGACGTAATGTCCCACATAAACTTGGCTATTCACGTACTGTGCATAGTCTCTCAATAGAACGCTTCTCATAATAATACATATATGTTCACAATAATTTTGTGAGCTTGTACATCTTAAAACTATAATATAATTATGAGAGATGGCACAGCTTGACGTCCCCAAGTGGGAGACCTAAGGTCCGGTCGGCGAAAGCTCTGCCGGACTTCCAATAAAGTTCTTATCAACCAACCAATGGCACAGCTAAGGGCACCGATAGTTTCGACCCCCCTGGAATTTTTCTATGTGGACCTAAATCTAAGCATACAGGTCTCTAGCAATAGGAATAGCGAAACGCAGCTACCATGGGCGGGAATCGATTCCGTGACCTTTGAGAAAGTCCTACACCACTGTGGTGGCGGATAGTCAAACAATCTCAAAGCGTCCCAAACAATGCATGGCGGCGTGCGGTGCTAACAGCTTTTCGGAGTGAAACACAAAGACATCATGTAAAGAAGTAAGTGCACGTGGAAATTTCGCCCTCACGAGTACACACAGCCCCCCAGCACCTACAAGCATGCGGTTTTCCTCGGCGCTCCAATGCAAAGGTGGGGTGAGATACGGGTCCATCTCCTTGTTGGCTCGCTTGATCTTCTCATCTTCGTTCATGGGCGCCCGCATTCCATTGATGTCCCTGAAGTACGGGTGGTGGAACACCAGCGAGTGGTAGCAGTTTTTGCGCACCTTCGGCTTTGCGGGTCGCGCAGATCGCTCGGAGAGCTCTGCCAAAAGTTCCATCCTCAGCTGCCTGGATTGGACACACCAGGGAGAGCATGAATGCAAATGAGAACACTAGTGCTTAGCACTGGCGTACGCACGAGCACTCTTCGAAAATCCCTATAAGATGTTTTCGAGCAAACTGAAGAAACTAGCTTAGACAACGATGTTATCAAGAACGCCTCTGCAAAGCTGCCTACCTAGAGCTAGCCCCTGCTACTACAAATACTACCCCTACTACAATCAGGAACACCACTGTGAAACCGATACTTGCTACTTACAAAGAAGGGAGTGACGTTTTATTTTTTTGGAGCATAATTTGGAGACGAAAAAGTACCGTTTTGGAGCAGCCGTAAGTGTTTTAGGAGCGAAAAATTTGTTGCGTGAAGCAGTTAATGGTGTTTTAGGATCAGCTACAAAATTTGTCATACGCCAATTGGCGTTCAAAGCATCTCGTAAAAAATTATTTATTATGAAACATATTTCACAGACAACAAATGTAAATTTCAAGAAGCAAACATTTAGAAGTGGCTGGTTGTCAAAAACAAATGAGCAGCAAAATGAGCTATATATTTAAGCTACCAGTACTTGTAGCAGAAATCAAAATCCGGTAAAGCTGAGCACCACATTTTAGAACTAACCACAGTCACACATGACTGTTGCCAAATAAGCAGATAGATAATTGGTACGAGATAAAAGCAATTCTGCTCATTTTCACATTTCACCACACTGGCCCACACGTCAAGCTCAGACAAAAAAAGCAATAAAATGACTCATATGGTTAATATGCCAGTTTTTGTCACATAAACGTAATCAGAGCCGATAATGCTGCACACTAATAGCATACTGGGATGATAGTGTACACATTCCTTTCAGTTTCTTTAGGACTTAGGAGGTGGTCAAACAGTAAAGGTTCATCATTCCTCATATCTCATTGCCATTTCAGAGCAGGTTTGGAGCAATTACTAACAAAAACCACTGTTTGGAGCAGCATGAAGCAGCTTTTCGCGTTTGAAGCAAGTTGGAGTAACACTTCCATGTCTCTAACTTACTACATACCTAATACAGCCCCTACAACTACAACTACTTTTTGCTCTTCTGTCTTGTCAACCACTGCTGAATTTACAGCAACACCAGCTCTGTCAAGCTACAATGATTAGCCACCCTTTTTCTTCTAACTCCTTTTTCCACTCTAGCTGGTTTCAAATCCGTACCTGTTCTCTTCTAGCCTTTCTGCCAACTCACAGATGGCGTTGTCGAGCAATGCTTGGTAGGCACGGTTGAGTGCCAGGAGGTTTCGGAGGTCAGTTGGCATCTCTGCAAGGCTCGACCCTAGGAAATCAAAGAAGTGATGCCAACGATGAGCACAACACAATAATACTTGGCCCCATGGCACTGCCATTCAAGGTTATTATAGTCAGGTACAGCTTTACAAAGCAGACACATTGCCTCAATTGATGAATTCCAATACTAGACCGCATAGTGCACAGTCCAAGTGGACGGCTTACAAGGCAGCATCGCCAGAGGAATTGAATGTGTCTGCGTGACATTTGCGAGACATGACACCACATCCAGTTGACAAGAGAAAGCTAAGAAGATTCAGTGAAATACGTGTGCTATTGACCTCTTTTGAGCTCAAATGTAAGAACTTCAATGTGCTTCTGATGTAGCATGCAACAAATGCTGGTTGATGTCTTGTTTTTAGCTGGCGACCTACTCAGAGTTTTTGGCCTTCTGTTTGACCGGAATCTTGTCTAAACGGCAAAGTATTTTGCGTCGTATTTGTCTCCAATGCCATCTTCCCAAAGCGGCCTATTTTGCTAGCTACCCGAGTACTGCACTATCCACTTAGCTGTTCGTTCAGCCATCTACGGTGATTACTGGAACTCACCATAGTCAGTCTAGGGTGCGCACTCTAGACCAACAAAATGTGAGCGCACTCTAGACTGACATGAGTGGAAAGACAGGGGGACTCTTAATGTTGGAGGCGACGACTGAGAACACGAAAGGGATCATTTCTCGTGATTGAGACAAACCGCCGTCACGACAGCAATCGGCTGCTTTCGACATTTGACTGAGACCTCTCCTGTCTTCTTAAGTAGTAGCAGACTACAGTGCTGTCAAAAAACGTAGCCTGTCCAAGATACCAGTCATTCGGCTGTTGACGCACTCAGCCGTCCATGATTGCGTCTGAGCCTGACAAGCAATAACACTACAATCAACATTAAAACATTCACATGGTAGTTGAAGAGGGTAAATCTTTCTTCAAAAGGCTTCCAAGGCCTATAGAAGGTTTGTGCATCCGTCACAAAACATGCTATGTTGGTGCACTGTACGGTAGTATGCATTGTTTGTGACGACTAGTTAATGTTATCGTTACATCAGTGTCAGGTTATCTTGTTTTTCACACATAGAAGCCAATATCATAGAGGCTACATCATTATCATATTGAAGCAGATTAGCCGCAATGCGATCATACGGCCTTCACCGTCATCTAAGACCCCATGATGGCAAACAAGAACATTATGAAGCCCTGTCCATGGCAACACGTGCAAGCTATCTGTAGTTGGACGAAGGAAAAGAAAAACTTGTGTACAGAGACCTAAACCCCAGCTGTTTGTATTGTCAAGCAATGCATATTATAGCAATGGTGAGTTTGTGGGTACTTCAGGTTCATTCACATTTGCAGATGGTAGTACTTCCCGGTAGCATAGCCAAAAAGGTGGTTCAACTCCCCCCCCCCCCCCCCCCTGGCTACACAACAAAATAAGGTAACCCATCACAAACCTTGAATTAGGGTTCTTATATTATGAACAACACTTTGATTTATTTACATGCATACATAACGGAGCTCTTTTATTGATAGCTTGTCGATATCAACGCCATTTCTTCTCTGCAACTGGTTCAACAGTGATGGTACCTGGTAACGACCCATTTGCTTCTCATAGTTTGTGCGACATTGTGCCACTTGCCACTCCTCTGAGTTTCGCATGTTGTATGCTACATTTGTTTTCAGGTTGGCTAAGTTTTGTAAGGCATTGTCTTGGTCTTTTGTGCATTGTTTATAATAACGATAAATCCTATATTCATATAGTGACTGAACTCGAACAAAAGGCGATGCGGCAAACAATTCAGCTGTATGTGACAAATAGGGCACCTTGCAAGTTAGTCTAATATTTTGTTTTTGTAATAGAAATAATTTCATGATATTTGCATTTGTGGTTGTGCCCCACACAAGAGGTATACATTTACTCCGCTTCCGTCCAGGTTCCGGCAAGGTCGCTTTTTTTCAGTATCTTACTCTGGGGCGAAACGTCTCGCGATTGTGATTGTGCTCCTGGAAAAGGCTGGTAGATTCTAACGTAAATGAACGCGAAGGTGCTGATGCCAGCAGTGAAGCTCCAGCGACTCACGTCTGAATGCCCGAAACAGACAATCGACACAGTACAGCGTCAGTAAACTCGTGTTGCAAGCGCTGGCAGTTCTCGTCCGAGTTCACGCATTCTGAGAAATTGATTATGGTGCACTATGCTCTGAAGAAGACCAGAATATATTCCTTCTCGAGATTTTGTGTGGTACGAAGCTGCTTCTGTTCACGCCGGTGTAAGTGCTGCAAACATGAATGCACGTGTCCTAGTTAGAACAGTGGCATATGTGCTGCATAGTGAAATGTTCTGTACAGTTCTGAATCTGTTGACGTAAAGGAAAATGACGGCTGCACGCTTGCAAACAACGGAAGACGCCTTGCCACAACGCTATCGTTTCAGGGGGCACAGTGACGAAAGACACGATCAAAAATTAGTAAAACGAGTACATTGCACGTTTTTGCGTGTATTGAAGTTTTCTAGCGCGAACAACCCAGCGAGGAAGACATTTCCATGTGTGTAGCTATATAGTCTCATGATTCATACCAGGTGCATTTTCGTTTGAGACCAACTGACCATTTCTCAATAACGATTACTTTGCCCTTGCAGGCTGCATAATAAAGCCTCTACTTTTTTTGCATAATAAGACCTCTACGATTGAAAATACTCAACGTTATCGAAACTCACAGTGCAGCTGTAATGTCAACCAAGTTTGCCAGAAAATCTGCCCAAAAAATAACGCGTGCGAAATCGTGCTGCTAACGTGCAGCATAATTTACAATAAATTACTTATTGCATATTGCAAGCATGCTTGATGCGTGCAGTAAAGTAAAAAAAAAATGTTGACTAAAACCTATCACTGCGCCAAGGCTGCTTGACATTAGGGCTTAACATAAAAATGATTCTCATATACATCTCTCAAACATCGACAGCAAAAAATTATCTGCTCAGCAAAGTAAGTAAAAACGGAATGTATTTATGAATGTACAAAAACATGCGTATACTTCTCATTCTTCAATGTAAGCAAGAGCCGTCCTTGACTTGCGAAACGCACTTCACCATGACGAGGACAATGCCATTTACGTTTAACAGAGATTACCAATTAACAATGTCTTCTCCAATAAGACGGATCGTCGCAATTATATGTTTTTGAAGACTTGTCCATTAAACGATGTGAGGAAAGGCCGTTGCTCCAAACGGTCACTCTACCTGTCGTTTACACTCGCCGCTGTAGTCTAATGGCTAATGTACTCGGCCACTAACCTGCGGGTCGTGGGATTGAATCCCAGCTGCTGCGGCTGCATTTTCGTTGGAGGCGAAAGAAAATGCTGTAGGACCGTGTGCTCAGATTTGGGTGCACGCTGAAGAACCCCAGGTGGTCAAAATTTCCGGAGCCCTCCACTTCGACGCCTCTCTTAATCGTATAGTGATTTTGTGGCGTTAAACCCCACATATCAATGACTCGATTACCTGTCGTTCACTGTATTTTACTGTGGTTACTTTACTTTTACGTACTCTTCAAAAGCATACACATAGAGAGTCTCATGACCTTGATATGCATGTACACTATCTCCTCAAACTACCGCTGATAGTCACGTCACAGAGGAAAGCTGATGCTTGTGTGTCCCACTATGGAAGCAAAAGGCAGGCGGCGACTGTGCAGAAGAATGTTGCATGCTGCATCACAGCTAGGAGCTTGCTGTTGGCCTTGAAAAGGCGACGTCGAAGGCGCGGACGCGCCATTTTGGAGGCTTCCTCGCCCCCGCGAAGCTGATGGGCGGCCATGTTGAGCACTGCATTGGAGCTAGGACCAACGCCTTTTAGAAAAACAATGCCTGGATCGCCGCTCTCTTTTCAATTGGAGCTACCTGCCAGCACAAAATCTCCGAGGCCATGCCTCCTGCCACGCGTTGCGACCGTGCGCTACGTGGGACCGCTCGCCTCCATACCGCTCAGTCACGTGACATTACCGTACTGCTCTATCACGTGAAATCCCATCTGCTTGGAGGCAACAGTGAAAGCGTTGCTGTGTTCGCAATGGGGGGCCACAACAGGCGTTCACCTTCGAGCCGGAGGGGGAGGGTAAAATCCGAGGGTAGGGTGGCACGTTCGCTACTCACGTTTTAGGTATAACTTTTCTAGGAGGCGTTGCTGGGACGAAAAGGACCCATCTTGGCCTTCCCCCCCGAGACGAAGAAGAAAGGACGCCATGTTGGCGTGAACCGGGAACGAATGGGCGCCACGAGTAGGAGGCCCCACAGAAAGTTGCTGCACCCAACACGGAGCAAACTGCTCTAACTGCACGCGTACAAGTTCATCCTCTCGCGCAATCGAGACGATGAACTTGTACGGGCGCAGGACGCCTGCGTCGTTACAGGCCGGCAGGAGTTTCAGGCCGGTGTGGCCAACGCCTTAGGCAGCAAGTATTCTGCCGCTCTGTCTTGCGGGCGTCTTCCCCGACAGCATCCAAGTGTGATGCAGGTTTAAGGTTGATTAAATTGTTGCTCGGTAAAAAAGCCTCAGAGCTAAGAAATGACGAAGTTGTTTAAAGTAAGAAAAGAAAAGTAGAAACATTAAGGATAATTAAGAAGAAAAAAAATAACGTTGCAATGTACCCACACCGAGTCTAAGCTGACAAACTAAGGCATGCCCTATAAGTTGTCCAGCTATAATGTTTGTAAAGATCAGCAGTCACCGGTGGCGGGATGGTGGCGGTGGCTTGAGGCGGCAGATGCTGGCGATGTCTTAGCAGCTGGAGTCAAGCGCTGACCAGCACGACCACTGTCAGCGGCACTCGAGTTCTCACAGCTGAGTTCTCCGGCAGCGTCTCATTCTCCGACAGCGTCTCCGTGCTTGCACGGGAATTGCTGCACTGCGTTAACGTGGACTCCGAGCCCTGAGCGCGTCCACTCGGCGCGGTTGCCCATTGGTTCAACGAACATTCAAAAAACAAAAGTGAGCCTTCGAGCCGGCACCGCATAGCAACGCATCGCCAGAGAGAGGAGAACGAGCCGAGATTCGAGCCGGGACCGCAGAGCAACGTATCGCAGAGCGAGCCGAGACGCGAGTGGCGTCGGACGTAGCCGATCGAGCTCCTGCGCCGAGTCCAGTTTCCTTATACATGTAACCACTGCCGATTCACCTGTAACTTAGCACAATACAGTTTTTCTTAAAATTTGAACCTTGCCTTGACTACATTCATTTCGGTCATCGCTGACACCACGCTTGGCGAAAGACGAGGTAGCTTTGCCCTCGCAAGAACTGCGGCTGCTTACCGACGCTGGCTCATTTCAAGAAGGTGATCACCACCCGGAAGGTTCCGCCTTCCACGGGCGGTTCAGGACCGGAGTCGAGACCTGGATACATGCGACGTGACCTTGAACAGTCATGGCCGGAAATCTGGAAGGCCGCGTACCTCAGAGTACACCGTGGGCAGCTGGAGCGTCCTGGCCTTGCCTGACTTCACGCGTTTTGGTCCGGAACCAGACACCGCAGTGCGGTGACGGGTTCCCCAGGATCTTCCCTCCATCTTGCTCAATCGCGTTCTGCCCTCGACTCGTCTTCGACTGTCCTGTTCTTCTCCCTCGTAACTTGGCCGCGCAACCTGATGCTGATGCTGATGACCTCTGATGGATGGCGCTTACCCACAAAGGGGGATGGGCCAAGAACCGGGTGGCAGGATACTTAAATGAAACTAAACTGAAAATGAAGCCAATCTGAAAAAGTAGCTTAAAATAATACTACCAAAAAACAAAAATGTGTGCTGAGCAAGCGGTCAAACCATCTTTTGTTTTTGAAAGACATAACTACGAATTATAAACTAAAGATCTGAAAAGGTAGTGGTTCACTGGCATGGTAATCTTTTAGTTGCGTTGATGTAATCAAACACAACGGAGCATACATCCCGGTGGCAGTAACCAAATGAAGTTCCGCCAAGTGATAAAATTACTGGTAAATTTACTTGTATTCCTAGCTTTTGTAATGGGGCTACTAAAAATCTTTTTCTCTGATAAGAATAACGATGACAGAATAAAAAGAAATATTCAATTGTTTCAATTTCGTTGCACCAAATGCATAGCGGTGACGCCTTGAGCTGAGCTTTATTGAGGTAATAATTTAGTTGTGGAACTGCACAGCGCAATCTGGTATAAGTGACCTCTAACTGGCGAGATACACACCACTGTTTATTCCAGCAATAGCTCAAATGCTCAAAATTTTTGAATTTATCCAAATTACCTTTTCCCCATTGCAGGCAAGCATTTCGGAACCTTAGCGCGGTTACGTAAGCCGTATCTGGCAAAACTGGGATGGTGGGCCCACCCAGGGATACTGCTGCTAAAGAGTCCGCCATTTCGTTCAAATATAATCCGCGGTGGCCTGGTACCCATAGCAAATGCAGTTTTTTACGTTTTTTTGGTACTAAATGCCGAAACGTATTCATCAGCTCTGAATTTACTGCCGCAGAAAGTGCATTACAAACTGATAACGAATCTGTAATGATAACTGCTAATGATTCGCTTGAGGGTAATTTGCGTAGGGCAAGAACAATGGCCAATAATTCTGCCATGAATACCGGGGTATATACTGGGAGTCGAATCGAAAAGGACCAGTCCAAAGAAGGAGAGAAGATGCCAACCCCAGCCTTTTCTTTTGACACAGATGCATCAGTCGCTATGATATTGCTTATCTCTAGGTGGGCTAGATAATCTGCTAACTGGTCATTTAAATACCTATATGCCAATTGTTTCGCGTTATGAGGAAATATATCATCGAATTGTATGCTAAGCATTGACTTTAGGTTGTGTATCGGACCAATATGTCTAATTTTTACATTCAGTTGCTTTAGTAGCGCTTGTGCAAATACTACTTGCGGGGTGTGTAATCGCGACCAATGGGTTTCGAAAAATAAAGTCGGTTCTTGAATGAAAGCGTAAAATGAGAGTCTTTGGTGTGAACTGTATATCTTTAAGAATGCTTGCACAGTAAGAATTTTAAACCTATTTAGCAGAGAAGGTAGGCGAGCTTCCATATACAACACGTTATTTGCAACAAACTTTGGTAGACCCAGACACAAACGCAACGCTTCTCTTTCCAGCAGTATTAGGGGTCTCATTTTATAGGCTGCGCTGCCAGAAAATAATACACATCCGAATTCCATGATGGGCCGCACATAAAGTTTATATATCATTATTAGCACATCTCTTCTTAAACCCGCTTTACGGTTTGCAAGCTTCCGTAGCCACCCCATGGCCCGTGTTGCCTTGGAGTACACATCATCAATGTGACTTCTCCAATTTAATGTGTCATTATATATGATGCCCAAATATTTAAGGGAATTCGCCTGCGGAATGAGCTCATTACTGTACATTAACGAGATGTTGATAGGTTGCAGAAAAGAGAATGCAAGGAGCACACTTTCTTTACGTTCAGGGTCATATGAATATTTTTAAGCCATCTTTCTATCATATTGAGATAATTTTGTAGACTCTGGTATAATGATTGAAGGTCGGTATTACTTGCGAAGAAAGCAATATCGTCCGCGTACACATATAACTGAATATCCTTAGTTGATGGAATGGAGCTTAAGAAAATTTTAAATAAAACTGGCGACAGGACAGCCCCCTGTGGTACGCCACGTGTCTGCTTATATCAATTCGATGAGTACCCATCTTTAAAGCAGTAATATTCTCTCCCTCTTAAAAACT